TATATATATATATATATATATATATATATGTATATCTTCAATATATACATATATATTTTTCTAGTTTAAACTACCCGGCGTTGTTTGGGTTTGTAACACAAAGTGAAGGGAATGAAATCATGGGAAGAGAATGGGATATGTGTCCAGCTTTCATTTAGCTTATATAATATTTTCCGTAGGAAAATCCTAGAAACTATCTATGCAAAATTTCGTTCAAATCGGAGAAAAAGTTTAAGTGTATAGAGAACAGACAGAGAGATAGACATTCTATTATATAGAGTAGACCAGAGCTAGTTGTCTGTTGAGGTAAGACGAAATCGATTATTTCTGCTATTTGCTAATAAGTTACAAAATTAAGCAAGCAAGATTTTTAAACATGTCAAAGATGGCTTTGAAATTCCTGCTTGCTTGATTCTGGAATCTGTTAAGAAACAGTAGAAATAATCGATTTTGCCAACTTATTCTGGTAACCAACTAGCCTCAACCTCTTATATATAAAATAATTGTTATAAATTATGTGATGAACAAAGTCGTATTTTTTATATTAAATTCTATACTATAATAGATAGTAATAATAACCTTATATTCATGTTACTGTTATCATTTTCGTGTTAGAACAACTAAAAAAATATAGTTAAGCCGAAAATAACTATAGTTTTAGTTAGATAATTTTTTTCCCCAAGTGCGCTGGCAGAGGTACTTTTATCTCAACTTAAGCTGAAACTATCTTTTGAAACGTTTCTGAATCAATTGAATCCGCGCCCGAAGTCGCGACCCTTTGATTTCGCAATTTTCAATTTGAACATTTTAATCTCACCGATCTCGAGCGGGCGATCCAAAGTTCTCCCCAAGTTTTCGAACGAATTCGATAACGCCGATATTGAAAGTACTTCCAGCATATTTTTCCCAACGCGCGGAAGGTTAACGGCTCGCAGTTTCGCTGGCGATATATTTGCGTATCTCCGCGGATTCTCATGGTCTCTTCCGCGTGATATTCTTGCAGAATTCAGACTCGTCGTCCTGAGACTCGGCGACGCGATGCCGTTTATTGATCTGCCGCGAAACACGAGGTCTCCCGTGAAAAAAGGGCGATGCCGTGCCTTACGAGACCTCTCGATTTCGGTTTCTTCTCCTTCGTTTCGCGAGCGTTGCGCTTTATTACGGCTAAACAGCCTGACCGTGCAGTATATTACCGCAGGACGGCTCTGATTTATTACTAGGCGAGCCTGCCAACCCTCTGCCCAATATCCATACCCGGTCCCATCGGCGAACAACGCCCGGCGTCTCTCTCGTCCCTTCACCCGCACCTCGACGCGAGCTTTTCCTCGCCGGCCGAAACTATTAATTTCCATCTCCCGCGGCGACCACTGCCGCATAATTCGATTCTGCGGAATTACCGCGCGACGACGGTGTCGTGAGACGCCCGTGCAGTTGCTTTGTTGCATGTGGCCAAAAGTTTCGAGCTTCACCATCCCGGAACCTTGAGCATTGGACCCGTTCGCGTACCCAAAAGCGAACCCGATCTCGACTGAGCTTCAGGGGAAACGGCCTCGTGTTCGTATCCTACGCAAATCTATGCAAAATGTCAAAAAAGAGAAGAAATACTGCCGGAACTTTAGAATGCGAAATTTCCGAATTTCTCTCGTCCGAATTTGTGAGTGACTGAGCTCTCCCCGTGTTAGACATCGACGTGTTCAACAGAGAAGGCTGCTTTGCCACTGTTGTAAAATTTGCGAGTCTGATTGGTGCACTGAGAAAAAAACTTGAAAATTTATTTGCGGATATAAAGTTTACTGGCTAAAACTACCTGGCGTTACCACAACCCAGATTATCACAAAGTGTCAAGGGAATGAAATCAGTGGCAGAAGATGTGTGTGTGTGTGTGTGTGTGTGTATGTGCATGTATGTGTATGTTGTGTGTGTCCAGGTTTCATGTAGCCTGTATTTTCTGCAGGGTCCTAGAGAGTAACTATGCAAAATTTGGTCCAGATCGGGAATTTAGGAGTATATAGAAGACAGACATTCTCCATTATATATAGGTTTTTATGATAAATAAAGTTCACTTCTATGAAATAGACTTGTATTCCACAAAAAAATTTTCAAGTATTTTTCTCTCAGTGTTATCTTCTTACATACTGAGAAAATTCTGAGAGATAAAAAATATTTATTCGCGGTGGGTGCTAATAGCATATTCACTTAAATTTAAATTGTTTTTCTTACGCAGAATAAACAACTGTTTTCATGGAAAACAACGGCTTCCTTCAGGCAAAATATATGTTTTCTCACTGAGCAGAAATTTCTTCTCAATGTAAAAATATGTATGTTAATGTAAGTGAATCTGTTATCATAGTACTCATCGAGTGTATATCTCTTATTTTTATTTAGATCTTTTCTCTCTCAGTGAGGATTCAGCCAAGATTAGGCGCATACGCAAACAAGATCCACGAATTTGACAACAGTTGCGAGGCGGCTTTCTCTGTTGAACACGCAGCCGTTCTTCGGCTCGCGCTTTAATCGAGTACGAGTGTCTTGATCGACGATATACAGTCCCTTAGCGTAGGTGAGCGACGAGCCGCGCCACGAAATTGCCGCGGGATCAAGACTTAAACATCGGAGCAGGTCGATAGGCGAGCCGGTGCGCGTCGTTACCCGGCATGGCCCATTTACCCCGATAGCTACGAATACGTGTATTACAGTGCGGCTTCGAAACTCAGCCCGCCACATCGCGCGGGTGGCAGCCGTCCTCCACCTGCGAACGACAATCCTTCGCAATGTAGCGACTCGCGTTCCTCCGACGATACAGGCGAGGGTTGTAACCACGTCGGGGCTGTGGGTGGCAGGGCGGCGGGGCGCAGCGCGGCAGGAATTTCATGAAACGTTTCATGGGAGGGCTGCGGCGGGAGGGTGTGGGGGTGTGGTGTAAGCGCTGTCTATCAGCGAGTTTCCAGGTGTAAAACGTGCTCGATATTCGTCACCGCGCCTGCATCATTTCGCACGGAAGAAGTTCGAGTTGGACTTCCATTTTCTCTCTCTTTCTCTCTCTCTCTCTCTCTCTCCCTCTCTCTCTCGAATTAGACGCGAATATCCTCCCTGCCCTCTTCTCTCGTTCTTACCTTCCTCGACGTGGAGTCCGCGGCAAAAAAGGAGAATTGTTCAATAACAACGGGACGTATCGATACGATCCCGAGGGGCAGACTTTTCCCGGACTTTAATAAATTAAAAAGCCGCCTCGCGGCGTGGTTGAACTTGGTTTCGTGTATATCGGAAACAGAAGTTAAATGAAGTAAATAGGTCGTGATATTTAGATATATACCGCTATTTTCGCGATGATACGCGAGATACTTTTAGACACCGCAATTTCCACGTAGTTTCCGCAATCGATCCTCCTCGCGTCGCGACTGTTATTCGTTGTTTAACGCGAGCGCACGAGAATGGTAAGACGTAAAGTCACACTTCGTCACCCTAATAAGGCTGCTATAAATTGCTATCGATTCCAAGGGTGGCGTCGCGACGACGCGAGGCGAGGGGTGCCGAGTATCGCCTCTTTTTTTTCTTCTCCTCGAGATAGGCGTGGTGAAAGAGCGTTTAAAAATAATGCGCTTGAAATGTGCTATGTCGAGGTTGAGGACAAATGAAGCATCGTCTGCTTTTTCATCCTTAACGGCTATATGAAGCGTGTCCTTGTTGTTTCAGCATCTCCGCACCGTTCCAAGTGGTAGCCGTGATCCTGATCCTCGCCGCGACAGTGTCAGCTTTGATCGGTCACTGTAATTCCGATCACAGGACTCTCGTAGCCTGCGGACTCTTTCTCTTAAGCGGTAAATATCTCTTTCATATTTTTTTTCAATAATTTACATTCATGGAATTTCAATTTACATTCAAATTTCATGGAATTTTCTCTTGCATAATATCAAACAGTCAAAATCTCCAGCATTTTCCACGACTGTCACCTCAATAAAACTATTAGATCGAGACTATTAGTTCATACGTGGTACAGTCTGCGTGTATACACCGAGAAAAAAATATCTAAAAAGTAAAAAATGTTTATTCGATGGATATTAATATTTATTTGAATCTAATTTTTTCATTTAAATAGAATAAACTATTGCTTTTATAAGCTACAGTAAGATACTTGAACATTTATTTAAGGAAATAGAAGTTTATTTCACAGAAATAAGTATCTCACAAATATATTTTTCAAGTATTTTTTTTCTCAATGTATATTTTCTTATTTGAAGAATATTTTATATTATAATATAAGAGTAAATGTATGTGTGTGTGTGTTATTATAGTATCACTGATTACATTTTTTTTCTTGAACATTTTTTCCATGTGTATTTCTCATTATGAATTAAAAATTCAATTTGAATTAAAAAAATTTGAATAAAAAAAAATTTCAAATAGAAAATAAAAATAATAAATAAAATATCTTAAATTGAGTTAAAACGACAATAGTCCGCTAATTAGTGACGAGAAATTTAATTCTGTTGGATAGCAGTGATATTTCGCCGTGGTTTCTAAATCTAGCACTCGAATAGGAGGATTCGGATGCAAGACCGAGGAGAAACAGCTCTCTCGTCGGTCTCGCGCTTCCTTCGATTCGCACGTCGTACCGCCATTCTTTGCGCTCCATCGCGTCGTATAAACATTCGAGCTAGGACCAAGAGTGGACTCTCAATCCGTGTCCATTGTCCGCGCAGCGTGGATCTCGCTATTGTTAAAACCCACGTGATCTACTAGGCGCGCGCGAGCGCCGTTTAAATCACGCGAGTCGCGCAATTCGTGTCGACGAGATCGAGGATCACATTGTTGGCTTCTCGCTGGCGAAAGTGTGCTTGATACACTGCCGAGAGTGAACCAGCCTAACGTGACCAGAGAACGAACCACTTCTGTCTCCGCGCCCGCCCGCTCAACGAACGCGCGAAAAACTACTCTTTCTCGGCCGTGTTCTTTTAGCCTTCCTGACCTTTGATCTTTTCGCTTTTCACGCTCAACATGCACTCTAGATGCGAGAATACTAAGAAGCAATAATCACATGAGGAGAGAATTTCGAGAGCCTGAGAAGACATCAGTTGCACTCGTATTGATGTGCGAAACGATAATTATCTGTTGTAAGTTTGACAAAGCATAGAAACTGAGGATTCTCGTCTCTACTTTCTTGGCAACGGGTACTGGATTCGCGTTCGCGACGAGAGGGATGAAAATGATCGATCCACTCCTCGTGGTTACTAGGATCTCAGGGATTACCGCCGAAATCGGTGCGCGCAGCGACCTAAACGCGTCGTCAGAAACGCGATGCCTTCCCATTTCCAACTCTTTCAGTACGTCGCCTCAAACCTCATATATTTATCCCTTCCATCGACTCCCGCATCCTTTCTCTCTTTTTCTCACGGATAATCCGACAGGTAAGTCGATATGCGCGCGTGATTCAAACGAAATCGAAATTCGGGCAAGGGATGCGCGGAGATAGCGAGCGGGAGTGAGAAAAGGTCGGTAATATCGCAGAAGAGTCGAATTGATTTCTTCAGCGGCGAGAAGGTGGGGGAAGAGGGTTCAACATTTTAATAAAAACCACCCACGGTTTTGTCGTCGACGTCGATGAAGGGTAGTGCCGCATATATGAGGGAATAGCGGCGTCATGTGGACGACGCCCTCTTCCACGGTGGGCAAACGGGAAGAATCTTTGTCAGGAAAAGTCTTTCTCACGGATATTTTCTTGTATTTCAATTTCGCGAAATATGTATATAGCGTGTGTATTAATTATATAGAATTGTTTTCATGTATATAATTTACCTCAATCCGTTTTACGCGGGGGAGAGTCTAGAGTATTCTAGATTCTCTATCCGCAATTTTTGTGGAAACGTAGGAGGTGAATTATACTAATATTAATGTGTGTGTATATATATATATATATATATATATATATATATATATATGTGCATTCTTATAATGCATATATATATATATGTGCATTCTATATAAATAAATGAACACAATCGCAATAGAAATATATTTTCCCCTCCCAAATCTTAGATGTTTCTCATTTCTTTGATGAATTCACGATTGCTAAAAATCAGTTGATCAACAAAGGATCCTGACTAGAAAAAGAAATAAGAAATATTGTATATGAATATCATAATGTAATCTTCATTTCAAAATTGTGCTCCTTCTGAATTAAAAAGATCGAGGAGAGACTTTAAAAGATTCCAATTAAAATTTTGCTGGCATTGCTGTTTTAATTCAAGTTAATGAAGCTCCAATTAAAAATCCCATGCAAACTACGGCGAAAACCGTACTATTAGGTGCCGAAATATTAGGCGCTCTCCTGTCTACCACTTCGGCCATAACTCGCAAGGAACGAAGAATTCCTCGTACATTTTTTATTAGCAATCGCCATTTTCTCCAGAAGGAGATTTTATAATACGAGGTACTTGAGGGAGGTTTCAAACGAGCGAGCTTCGAGTCGCGGCGGCATTTCTAAAGGCCTTTTAATAGCGCCGAGGAAGATAAAAAGCGCGTCCCGTAATGAAAGAAGCTCGCTTGCGCGAGTACCTCGCGTAATGTCGTAAATAAAATTGTCACAAACGAAACTGTGAAATGAATTTTCGAAAAAGGACTTAGCTTTTCGGTCGATACGGTACAAGATAGATATCTGTATGCTTAATTTTGCCATGTCGTATATAAATCATGTATAATCAGATTTGCTCTCGCAATAATTTATTCGTGAGTAATAATTAACACGTGAGAAGTAAATTTAAATATTAACGTGTATCCCGCGCGCGTAACAACTCAATTTCAGGCATACTATTTATACAAGTACGAAAACAATTGTATATTTGACTCGTCTTGATACTGCGGGTTTTTTTCTTTATCAAACTTTGCTTGTCCTTGTTTCGTTTCCGCGGACTTTTTCCACTGATAACGGTAGCCAGCGAGAACTCACTAAACCGGTAAAGCTCGGAAATAAATGTGTACAACAAACATTAAACAACAAGAGATAAACTGCAAGAGCAATTCTCCATAATGTATTGAATCTTGATTCGCACTATCCGCCACTCGAGCGGGATCCTCATCACCTACCTTAGTATCTACCTTAAGAGGATTTTGGAGTGGTTACCCAATTCCCTCGATACATTTTGCTCCGCGCGGGAAATATCATTCGCAGAAAAATTGCATGCACGGATATATTTAATGCATAAAAACCACTTACCAATTGCTATTCACTATAATTAAAATCTTTGAAAACGTATTTTATCTGTGTGGAATCCAGAAGAGGTAAGAACCCTCAACCATCGAACTATCGGTTCAGATCAACTAATTATTTAACAAAGCCCTTCCCGCTATTCCTCTCCGAATTCTCCTTCCCATTTGGATGTATCTGTTACCCTCCCTCGTAGTTTAAACTGAACACCGACAGAGTAACCTCCTTGTTTAAAATGGATATAATACCTAATGACATTACATATGATTTAGCCTGAATTTCAACCTAAATCTATGTGAATTAATAGAATGATGATTGATTTACATTAATATTCAGACTGAATGTAATCATATTGTTTTGCATCCACCATTTCAAGCTGGCCTCTACCGTATAATTTAGCTCGCTTTTGTCATCTATATATATATATATATATATATATATATATATATATATATAT